CACTATAAAAATGCAGCTTGTGAGGATGATAAGGATGTATGGCCTTTGAATACAAGGAAGGTTACTTAGGTTGTAACGAAACCTTGCTTGTAACAATACTTCCAATTAATGAAAGCTTTTATGGAGGAAGATAAGATCACACTTAGTAACAATGAACCACTCACTATAAGAGAGATACACATTTATTCTTCAGCTTTCTCTCTTTCCAAGCTTTGAGTCCTTCAAAAATGCTACAATATTTGAAATGACATTTACCATGCCATTAAAAATGATTATTCTGAGATTGTACACTTCACTAGGCAAAATAATATAGTTGACATACCGTCTAAACAGTTAATCCAATAATTCTTCAATAGCGTAATTCCAAAAATACCCCTCATATTCTCAATGAAACTTACACCTCAAACTATGATGAAAATACTAGCATATCTTCTAAACCATACCAAATATAAAAGTGTCAATATAAACTTATAGCAAGATTACTGGCACAAAGATGACAGAACCAATGACTTTGTTCTGCAAGCAAAATAAAATTCTTGCACCTTGATTGCAGTAGCATGTCACACTACAAAGTCATGACATCCAGTTTGACATTGTACTCTTCTAGTAACCAACCCAGTTGAAAAATACAACTTCTTTCAAAAAAATACCCCCATCTTCAAAATATACCAAGATTCAATTAATTCTAATCTAGATGATCAGAATATCCTCCAATGATAGAATATTCTCTAGACTGGGCAAAAAGCTTTTTACCCCAAGACTCTCAATCATTCAATATTCCATTTCTGAAACATATGATGATCACAGACCAAAACAAACTCCAAATAATTAACTCCTTCTTAAACTGATTCCTTGAGAGCTTCCTCATTTAGTGCCTTATATCCCTTTATAATCTTTATCACAATGGAGTAACAAACTGTTGAGATAATATTCCAACATATGGTTGAACATCAGCACCTGTCTCATTGAATATATCATTGATTTTGGTCTTGAAGTTACTCATCACTAAAAGTAATTCTCTCAATAAAATAACTCAGAAACATACCTTGTCCTCGTTCAAGGAAAAGATAGGACCTTTGAAGACTTCATAGATAATAGATTCACTTTGACAAAAGAAAATAATATACACCTTTCTATCCACCAGGACCTTCACCTAGCATTGAACCATTCAGATCCACAAAATAGGTTTTTCAGCTTTTGCAATTGACTGATCTTGTCTGCTTCTTCCTTTGAACACCAAGTAAGAGATAAAAAAATTCATACTTGTGAATTTCACAAATAGCAATAGTTCATCAGTCCTCAAAGGGACCTCAAATATCTCATAAGAGACACAACATCCTTCCTCGATGACACAATTGAATTAGTAGTTAAGTAAAAACAATTACCAAAACTTAGAGAATCCACCCTGAATTCTTTAGTTATCCAATGTCCTTAAAACTTACCTTTTAGTACCATCCACAAAGTAACACTGACTAGAATGAGACTCAAACAAACTACCAGAAACACTTTTACATATGTTAAGTGTCTGGAACAGTTAGTGTCAAAATACCAATCATCTTAGATGGATAACTAAGAAAGATATGAGAGATAAGGAAATAATCACATTTCCTGAGCATTAACCATTGCTTGGTTAAGCAACACTGAACTTGACCTTCGAGAAAATAACCAAAAACTGTTAAAATCAACTCAATACAGAAGAGATATCTTTAGTGCACGTAAATCCCTTAACAACAACCTTTTGTCATTTTGAGTTTTCTTTTTTTCTAATTGTCTTGGAAGAAAACTTAACCTCCTTAAACTTCCAATCATCTTCCCTCTTGAAGAAACTCCTCAAACTGATTTGGATTATCCTTACAAACTCGATAAAAACATCAAGCTTCGGGAATAAATAGAGTCACTTCATCTTGTAAAAACATATATAGTAGATACTTCTTCATTATCTTAAGACATAATATAAAAAATATATCACCTCTTGTTTCTTCATAGTAGAAAACTCCCTTCATTCTAGATACAAATCATAGAAACAAACTTCTAGCTTATTATGAGATAAATCTTCAGTTTAGAAATCTTCATAAGAAGTCCATCTTCCAGTCAGACCAATAATAGAAAAATCAATATAGTTGCTCTTGAGATAAGTAGGTCATTTTACTCTACAGAGATCCAAGGTCTTCATATTCCTAGAATGTTTAGACATTGATCTATACACCAATTCTAGCCTTTTCTTTTAGCGTCACAGACCTGTTGAAGTCAGCACATATGTTAAAAAATAAGGTCAAGACATACTGTCAAATCTCATCAACTTCTGATTGGATTGCCTTCTAAGGAACAAAACAATAATAAGAAACCATTCATCAGAAAACAAGTTTTTAACAGAGTTGATAACAAAATCCATGCTTTCATTCTTCTTTAATAGTTGTAACTTCCATGTCAAATCTCTTGAAGGAGACCTGATTATCTTCTTCTTGATCAAAGGCTAAGATGTTCCTTTATGAGTGAACTTGAGAATTTCCCAAGTATATTTGGCCATCATAGATACTAAGTCTGAAAAAGAAACTTATCAATTCCATTGATTATGAAATTGACAACTTCAAAGTTACAGAGACAACTCATGCTCTACTCTTCAAACTCTTTAGAACCAGGATTCTCCTATCCTGATAATTCTTTAAAAAAAATAACTATTGTCCAATGATAACCAGAATATAATCATTCCAGTCTTCCACAAGGAACATGAGTACCTATAAAATTACTCCCTGAAGCTCACCTAATGGATAGGATTCCTGCTCTGATACCAATTGAAATTTTTCTGGTACACACAACACATGGAAATACTAAAGCTCCAACATCAGAACAATGTTAAGATAGATGTTGCAACATCTGATCTGACATCCTGAACAAATTTATAACAAAAATTTAAACTGCAGAAAGATAAAGAACACATCAATATGTTAACCCATTTCGGTGCTAACTCACCTACTCTAGGGGCTACCAAGCTAGGAAGGAAGTCCAATATTAGTAGTATTAGTTCAAAGCTAAGTTAGTCCAAAGTTTACAACATCTCTCTTAATCCCTGCCCAATGCTGGTTCTACCTAGGTCCTCCCTAGATATGGGATATCGACATCCCACCTATAATCATTGCATTTATAAACATATAATCCCAGTCAAAGGGAATGTCACAAATCAAGTTACAGTCACAACAACCTGAACAATAAAACAGGAAGATCACACTTTCAAATTACAATACTTAACCAAGACTCTTGACCAAGAACAATACTTATAGTTTCTTAAAAGCTTCCTCCAAGAATAATACAAAATTCATTGTCTAAATGCTTCTAAGTGAGAACAATAAGCCAACCACATGTATCGAGTGATACAAATTTGACAAACACCTACACAATACACAAGAGACTCTCAAAACCTAAGACTATTTTCTTCCCCTAATTTTACAATTGTTGAAAGATTAAAGATACATTAGATTAGGTCGTCTTTAAATACACTTATTCAATCCTTGAGCTTCGATATTCTGAGTCCAAAAGTTTCTTGATCCATAATTTGAGAGTTGTATCTATTATGCAACAAAATCTCATTAAATCTTGGAACAACTAATACAAAGTTTCCTAAATTATCTCAAGACCCAATTAGGAAACCAATGCACAGTTGGAGATGTGAAAACTTATTCTAGATAAAATCTTCTTGAACTGCGAAATTTACTGAAACATATGCAAAAGAAATATTCCATAATCAAATTAAATATGTCAAGATTTAAAACAGTAGTGTTTGTTGTATTGCAGAACCCGATCAAGGTTAGTACTCCGACGCTCAATTGAGTGTAAAAGAGAGTAGAAAGTATTTGAATTGTGTTTGAAACTTGTTACATAATTCGACAACATTCTCTTTATATATGGGAAAAAATAACGATCTCGCTATCTTTTAGGCGAGGAATACGGAGGAGCGTTGGATATTCGTAAATACTTTTAAATATTTAAAATTCGCAGATACCCATTTGACGGATATCCACACAAATTTAAACGGATAAGAATATCATATTTACTAAACGAGCTGGATAATAAAAAACTAATATTCATGTCCATGATACCCATTGCCATCCCAAAGTACGACTTTATATCATAGCAAAGCAAGCACAATAATTACAACTCTAAATACAATAGTTATTTAAAGTTAATTATTTATTTATAACTTCCACTAGAATTTTTGACTAGATCTTGTAATACATATATTGGAAATTTAACATATTAATTAAATTTTTTAAAATGTTTATTTAATTAATTTAAATCATTCCATATTTCATAATAATAATAATAATGATATTTTTTAATTAAAACATTTAATTTAATGAAAAATAGAAAACAAAAATAAAATAAAGAGCATAAAAACTAACCCATAAAGAAACTATTAATAATAATAAGAATAAGAATAATAATAAAACAATCATAATAATAATAATCATAATAATAATAATAATAATAATAATAATAATAATAATAAGGGTTAAATATAATTTTGATCCTCCTAAATATCTCATACTTAACTTATAGTCACTCTAAAATTTTTCTTCAAAGAATGGTCCTCCTAAAAATTATAATTTTAACTTTTGACCCCTCATGGCAAAACTGTCGCTAAAATGGACTCTAATTCTGTCGCTAAATAAAATATTTTCGCTAAAACCACCGCTAGTTTTGTCGCTAAAATGTAAAAATCGTCGCTAAATTGCAGGAGGGATTAAAAGTTAAAATTAAAATGTTTAGGAGGATCATTCTTTAAAAAACATTTTTAGAGGGACTAAAAGTTAAGCATGAGATATTTAGGAGGACTAAAAAAACCTAATAATAATAATGATAATAATAATAATAATAATAATAATAAAATATTTGATGCCGACGAAGCCGACAGAGCGAGGGCGTGGACGTCCGAAATCCACGGTGTCTACGACAACTAGAAACCACATTTCGTCGGAACCACAATTAGAGAAGATGAAGGATGATCAGAAACAAGCAACAGAAGAGGAGATACCACTGAACGAAAACCTAATTGATGCAGGATCACAAGGGGAAGATTCTCCAAAAGATGCAGAGCAAAAAGGGAAACAAGAGATGAGATGATTATGGGTCGATGTTATCAGTGACAATCGGAACCCAACAAAAGGCAAGACGATGTCGTATGTGGATCCAACTATAGTTAATGGACAAGTTGAAATATAAATTGAAGATGAAGATGTGGAATCTGAACTACGTTTATGGGAAAATGCTCTAATTATATATGTAATGGGGGATGATCTTAGTATGTATATGGTCAAGAATTTCATGGAGCGCCACTGGAACTTTATTCATCTATCGGATTTATACTATCACGACGATGGCTGCTTTTTTATGAGATTCAAATCACATGACGATATGGAAGCAATATTGGTCAAGGGTCCCTACTTAATTAGAGGTATGCCTATGGTCCTAAAATAATGGAAGTCGAAGTTTAACATGAAATAGGATATGATGAGAGCAATGTTGATATGGATTAAACTGCCAAAACTCCCTCTGTATCTCTGGGGAGAACGTACACTGGACAAGATTGGAAGTGCTATTGGGGTACCAATGGTTACAGATGAGTGTACTACTCATAAACTCCGAGTCACCTATGCTAGAATACTAGTTCAGGTGGATATCACTAGAAAATTGGTATATGAGATTGCCATCAAGGATAAAGAAGGTAAGGCACTGATGCAGCCTGTAGAGTATAAGTGGAAACTAAAATTTTATGATAAATTCCAGAAAGTGGGACATCAATGTGGATTGGGACCCAAAAAGAATGTTTGGAAATCAAGGCAGCCGAAAGAGGTAACAAAAACAGATCCTCTTGTTACAGCTACTATATCACAATATGTTGAAGTTGTTACTCAAACACAGAATTTTGTTCAAGTTATTGCACCAAGTCAAGATGCTGCTGAAGTTACCACTCCAAAAAATGCTATATCGAAGTCCAGAGCCACAGATAGTGGTGAAGAGATGTGGACTAGAGTAAAAAGTGCTGCAAAAATAGAGGTAAAGCAATTGCATATTCTGAATCTTCTGTTGATTGGTTGTGTTCCAATGGATTTAGGGCCTTGAAGGGTTTGAGTGGCCCCTAAGCTCTAGACAGAGGACCATGATAGCCTCTTGGAACATTAGGGGGCTGAACAAGGTTGTAAAGCTTAGGAAGATAAGCTCCCATCTCCTAGGGCTCCAACCTAATATTATGATAATACTTGAAACAGGAGTCAAAGAAAAAAAGGCAGAGAAAAACTTAAACTCAAAGGAAACTATATTGATAATTATGTTGACCATCATAATGGAAGAATATGGCTTTATTGGGACACTAGTAAGGTTGATGTTTGATTTATTAAAAGTACAAGTAAGTTGCTTCATTATGGTATGGTGTGTATGATCTGACAAGGGGTTTTAATTTCTGGCTAACTGCAATATATGCCAGTAACGAACTTGACATAAGGAAACGACTATGGAAGGATATAGAGAGCATACGCAGGTTTCAATAAGGGCCCTAGTTCTTGATGGGTGATTACAATAATGTGGCGAAAGCACAAGATAGAATAGGGGAAATTGGTATCTGAAGTAGAATTTGTTGATATGCAAGGCATGATGGAAGTAACAGGATTAAGTGAAATGGACAGCATTGGCGATTTTTTCACTTGGTTCAACAAGAGAAGTTCATATACTATTTATTCAAGGATAGATAGATTTTTAGCAAATGTGGCTCGGTTTCAAAATAATTCCAATGTGACTCTGAATATTCCGCCTCCTTCAATATCTGACCATGCTCTTCTATACCTTAATATGGGTCGTACAAGGGATCTGAAAAGAGCTTTCAAGTTCAACAATTATACGGTTGGGATAGATGGTTTTGAGGAACTGTCACGAGAAGCTGGAACAACCATATAACTGTCAGCCCCATGTATGTCTTATGGCACAAGATAAAAAGACTGAAGTATGCTCTTAAAACCCTGAATAAACCAATGAATGATATTAGACAGAATATTGTTAAGTACAGGCAGGATATGTTGAATGCACAGGACAACCTTGGGAATCACATATTCGACAGTTGTGAATTAGAGAATTTAAGAAAACTTACTGATGATGTTATCAAATGGAATACTATGGAAGAACAGTCCATGATGCAGAAGGCTAAGCTTGATTGGTTGAAAATGGGGGATGAAAATAGTGCATTTTTTCATGCTTATGTGAAGTCGAGGCACAATACGAAAAGCATGAGAATGCTTCAGCAACCTGATAGGACTATCGTCTCTACTCATTATGACATAGAGCAAGAAATTATGCAATTTTATGGAAAATTAATAGGGGCAGAGAGTACTAGTCTGCACCATATTGATGTAGGAATTATGAGGAAAGGGAAACAAGTTAATATGCAGTAGAGAGAGTACCTGGTGAGCAGGGTGACTGAAGAAGAAATTGAGAGAGCCTTTAATGGAATTAGTGATTTGAAATCACCCGACATTGACGAATATGGTGCGAAATTCTTCAAATCATGTTGGCATATTATCAAGAAGGACGTTTTAGCAGCTATTATGGAGTTTTTCGACAAAGGGAGAATCTACAAACCTTTCAACAAAAATGTAGTCACATTAATTCCCAAACATGATGGTGCAAGTGGGGTTAAGGATTATAGACCTATCGTCGGGTGTACCACCTTTTACAAAATAATTTCTAGAATCTTAACTGCAAGGTTGGGGAAGGTGCTATAGGAGGTCATTAGTTTAAATCAAGTTGCGTTTATACCAGGCTAAAATATTCACAATCACATTATAATTACATATGAACTGGTCAAAGGCTATAGTAGGAGAGGGGGACACTTAGATGTATGCTGCAATTGGACTTACAGAAATCCTATGATATGGTGGATTGGAGGGCACTAGAAAGTGTTATGCTGGAGATTGGTCTGCCTAGTATTTTTATAGGCTGGGTCATGCTGACAGTTAAAACAGTTTCATATATGTTTAATGTCAATGGGCAGATGACAGAGGAATTGCAGGCTCGTAGTGGCATCAGGCAAGAGGACCCGATATCCCCCTTGCATTTTGTAATCATGATGGAATACCTTAACCGTTTGCTTGATAAAATGTAATAGGATCCTGACTTTAACCATCATACGAAATGTGAGAATCTGAATTTAACTCATCTCACTTTCGTGGATGATATTCTTATATTTTGTAAGGGAGATGTGAAATCAGTGGGCATGATGCTAGATGTCATCCATAGCTTCTCTACCAGTACTAGTTTGGTGATAAATCCAAACAAATGCAAAATCTTTTTTGGAGGGATTGATGCGGATGATAAGGATCATATGAAACGAATCACTAGTTTTGAAGAAGGACATTTCGCTATTAGATACCAGGGGTACCCCTTACAAGTAAAAGGCTCACAATTTCTCACTATGTACCATTAATCGATAAATTTATATGTCGAATGAAGCACTAGACAAAAAAGCTCCTCAGCTGCGTCGGTCGTATCCAACTGGTAAAAAGCATAACCTTAGTTATAGCTCAATATTGGATGATATGCTTCCCTCTATCTAAGTTTGTTCTGAAGAAAATTGAAGTTATCCATCGATCATTTATTTAGACGGTATCTCATGAAATTAAGAATAAGAGTCCAGTGGCTTGGGAGAATATTTGCAAACCAAAGTGCCAAGGAGTTTGGACATTATTAACTTCTATCTTTGGAATGTGACTACCATGATAAAATGCCTCTGGAATTTGTGTCGAAAATCAGATAACTTATGGGTGAAGTGGATTAATATGTATTACATCAAAGGTAGAGATATTTCACAATTTGTTAGCAAAACGACATGGTCTTGGGTGTTCGGGAAAATTATGGCTCAGAGAGAGATAATTGATCATTGCTACCAAGATTGGACCACACTCTTACAACAAGATAAATTCTCGATGAAGATTATTTATAGACTGCTAATGAAGGAGGATGCTCGTGTTCCTTGGAGATATTTGATGCATCATAATTATGCGAGACCTCGAGCAAGGTTGAATCTATGGCTGGTGTATCACGGTAGACTCCCTACTAAGAACAGGCTATATCGTTTTGGTATGATCCAGGAAATGCTTGTAGTCTTTGCAAAAATATGAGTGAATCCCTCACCCAACTTTTCTTTGACTGCAAGATGACAAGCACCATGTGGAAGAAGATTTTACATTGGCTAAATCTGACTCATAGCATCACAGGTTAGACTGAGGAACTCACTTGGATTATATCTCAAACAAGGAAAAAAAGGTTGGCAGGCTAGTATTCACTAACTCACATTAATTGAAACAGTTTACGGAATATGGCGTTATAGGAATGGGGTTGTGTTTAACCATGATGTAAATAAGAATATAGTTGATGACATTATTGATAGTATAATTTACTAGGGGTGGTATACAAAAAAGCTTAGAAATCACATAGCTAATTTGATACTTTAGGAGCTATTTTGTTTCTTTTTACGTCATTTTGGTGGGCTGGATCCTAGCGATCGCCTTGTAATTTTCCTGGCTTTTTTGAATTAATATATTCTCTTTTGATTCAAATAATAATAATAATAATAATAATAATAATAATAATAATAATAATAATAATAATAATAATATAATAATAATTATTATTATAATAATAATAACTATAGTAATAATAATAATAATAAAAACAATTATAATAATAATTATTATAATAATAATTATTATAATAATAATAATAATAATAAAAACAACAACAATAATAATAATAATAATAATAGTAATAAAAATAATAATAAAAACAACAACAATAACAATAATAATAAAAATAATAATAATAAAAACAATAAAAATAATAATAATAATAATAACAAATATAATAATAAAAATAATAATAATAATAAGAAGAAAAAAAATAATAATAATAACAATAATAATTAATAATAATAATAATAACAAAAGCAATAAAAATAATTATAGTAATAATAATAATATTAAAAATATAATTATAATTATTATTATTATAAAAGCATTAATAATAACAATAATAATAATAATAATAATAATAAAAAGAATAATAAAAATAATAATAATAATAATAACAATAAAAGCAACAATAATAATAATAATAAAAACAATAATAAAAAGAATAATAATAATAATAATTATTATTATAATTATAATAAAAAAATAATAATAATAATAAAAACAACAATAGTAATAATAATAACAATAACAATAAAAACAATAATAATAATAATAATAATAAAAATAAAAATAATAATAATAAATAATAATAAAAACAATAACAATAATAATAAAAACAATAATATTAATAATAAAAACAATAAAAACAATAACAATGATAATAAAAACAATAATAATAAAAACAATAATAATGATAATAATAATTATAATAATAATAATAATAATAATAAAAACAATAATGAAAATAATAACAATAACAATAATAATAATATTAATAATAATAATAATAATAAAAATAATAACAAAAATAATAATAATAATAATAATAATAATAATAATAATAATAATAATAATAATAATAATAATAATAACAATAATAATAATAACAACAATAATAATAATAGTAATAATAATAGTAATAAAAATAACAACAACAAAAACAATAATAAAAATAATAGAAACAATAATAATAACAATAAAAATAACAATAACAATAAAAATAATAAAAACAATAACAATAACAATAAGAATAACAATAACAATAACAATAATAATAATAATAATAATAATAATAATAATAATAATAATAATAATAATAATAACAATAATAATAACAATAACATTAACAATAACAATAACAATAATAATAATATTAATATAATAATAACAATAATAATAATAATTACAATAATAATAATAACAAAAATAATAATAATAATAATAATAATAATAATAATAATAATAATAATAATAACAATAAAAATAACAATAACAATAATAATAATAATAAAAACAATAATAATAACAATAACAATAACAATAACAATAATAATATTAACAATAACAATATCAATAATAATAACAAAAACAATAATAGTATTAACAATAACAATAACAATAACAATAACAATAACAATAACAATAACAATAACAATAACAATAACAATAACAATAACAAGAATAATATTAACAATAACAATAATAATAATATTAATAATAATAAAAATAATAACAAGAATAATATTAACAATAACAGTATCAATAACAGTAATAATAACATTAATAATAACAATAACAATAACAATAACAATAACAATAACAATAACAATAACAATAACAATAACATTAAGATTAATAATAATAACAATAATAATAACAATAACAATAACAATAATAATAACAATAATAACAATAGTAATAAAAATAATAACAATAACAACAATAACAATTCCAATAACAATAACAATAACAACAATAACAACAATAAAAATAACAAAAACAAAAACAATAACAATAACAATAATAATAACAACAATAATAACATTAATAAAAACAACAATAATAATAATAATAACAATAACAATAACAATAACAATAACAATAATAACAACAATAATAACAATAACAATAACAACAATAACAATAACACCAACAATAACAATAACAACAATAATAATAATTATAACAATAACAATAATAACAATAACAATAACAATAAAAATAACAACAATAACCATAACAATAATAACAATAAAAATAAAAATAACAATAACAATAACAACAATAACAACAATAATAATAACAATAACAATAACAATAACAATAACAACAATAAAAACAATAACAACAATAATAATAACAATAACAATAACAATAACAATAACAACAATAATAATAACAATAATAAGAATAATAGCAACAATAATAATAATA